AAGCTAGGGCGTTCCCACCGCTGCTTGTGGCGACGTGCCTGCAATGCAGCCTGCTGCTAACCACACCAATATACACAGACGAGGACACCTTTCTGCACCAGATGTTATACCCAGCATATCTGCAGATCAGTCTCAAGAGGAATGGGAAAATGCGTCAATGTTTTTGGTCGAGCAGGACATGGCACCGCATACACAGCTCTTCAATCCTATGCCAGAGATGGCCGACAGTGTGCGGGAGTCTGTTTTCTTGTGTGATACCAAAAAAGTGTACAACTACTTTGATTCGCCTGTGGACACAGAAAAGGATTCGGCTTCAGAGAATATTGCGAAAGACACTTGTGCTTTGGACATGAGTGGCTTGCCATTTGCTGTAACACCCACGGAGTCTGCTCTACAGCTAAGCAAACGTCTTTATCAATATACCAAGCAACACCAGGAATACGAAGGACAAACAACACGGATGCTATCTGCCAATAATTCCACATTCTTGCAGGAGGCACTCGCCTGCTACTTGGAACGCTTCCACTTTGAAAAGTACCCTATTGACATGGCGTTGCGTCATTTTTTATCTTTGGAACACTTGCCTTTAGAGTCTCAACAAGTGGATCGCGTGCTAGTCGCATTTTCTCACAGGTACCACGTATGCAACCCTGATATCCTCGATGAAGACAGCGTATATTTATTGGTATTCTCTTTGTTGCTGCTGCACACGGATGCCTTTCATAAGAGCGTTCGACCACGTATTTCTAAAACGGAATTTGTGAGCATGACTGAGGCGAGCCATGTACACCATGCTATTCTTGAATACTTGTACGACAATACGTCTCTTGTTGAATTTGCCTACATGCGGAATAACACTTCACTGCCCGTCTCTCGCGATCAGGATGCACTTTATAAACTCTTATCCTATGGAAATGTATTGAATTTACAGCAAGACCCCAAAATTGTACAAGAGCGTATCCACTTGCCGTTTTCCTACGCAGGAATGCAGTCACCATCGCAGACGCTTCATAAACAAGTTATGGATGCTCCTTTGTTAGAGTGTCATCCCAGAGTTAAGTTTTCAAAAAAGTGGACTATGACACAGAATAACCTGGAAATGTCAGTTATGCTTGCCCGGCTGATTGGTGCTGGCGCTGTCAAGCGCTGTGATTCTCCCGAAGGAGACAAGCGTAGCCTTGGTACGAAGTGGAAACCATGGGGCATGATCATTACGGGTTCCGCTATACTTTGGTGTAAGAATCCAGAGGATGCATTATCAGTGGAGTCCCTTTGCCAAGCACACCGGCAGATTAGTGTCAGAGTGGATGAGATTACACCGCTATCTCAGGCTCTGTGTGTGTATGATGCAGCAAAGAAGGATGGTATTATCCGGCTACGCGTAAATGAACGATGGTGTTTAATTCAAGTCCCGCATGACAAAGTCGATCACTGGGTGAATCGAATCAACTATATTGCGAGTTTAGGGAGCTGCGCATTAGTATGGGACGATGCTTTGATGATACCAACTGGCGTCGTCCTCGAGATGCAACCCACGTCTATCACCGCATTGGGCCCGTTGCGAACGGGCGCTCAGCCTGGACAAGCGCCACAGCCACGCCATATGTATTTGGAGTGCTTAAAAGCGACGTCACTGGCGCTAGCGCAATCTGTTCTCTCTATCAGTATGTATTTGGGGTCGCGTCGTCAACGGCACCAGAGCCTAATGGAAGAACAACAGCGTCAAGTTCAGACTATCATGCACATGGGCATTTTAACGCCCCTGCAGCGTTCAACCCGAGACAACCTTAAAACTGCCAGCACGACCCTTTCACAGGCTTTGCGGCGGACCCAAGTCGAGCTAACATTCCTTTCTTGCCGTATTCATTTCCTGCACACTGAACAAAATGTCTTACAAGAGCGGCTTCACCAAGAAGGATTAGGTATATATACCCCTGTATAATAGTACATTCTATTGTTCGTGACGCACTCGCTTCGCAGCACGTGGTGAGGGCAAAAGAGCCAGCGCGGCCTCTGGCAGGCACGTCCTCAGCTCCGCGTCAGACACATGGAGGCCATGAACGCTGGCGAGATGCCGTCGCACATCATAAAGCCTGGCAAACTTACGTGAACATGTTTCTAGCTCTTGCTCTTCACTCGAAGCTTGCCCACTCAGCATGGGCCATGGGCACGGAAGAACACGTTCTCGACGTGCTCGTTTTCGAGAAGAGCCCAAGAGGCTTGATAAGTGTGGATGTGACTCTGAATCTGAAGGCGGTGGCGATGCAGTTTCGGGAGAGCTTGGCTGCTCGTGAACTTGCTGGTGTCGTTCTAGCAGGTGCTTATAGCCATATCGTTTACCACATACCTCACACAAAAACGGCTTAGTTCCTTCATGAAAACGAGACACATGGACCTTTAAAGCATACTGTGACTGGAAGACTTTATCACAACCGTTCCATGGACATTGCCACTCGGACGATGGATACTCGGTATGCGTTCTTTGGTGCCGCTTAAGGTTTTCGCGATTCGCAAAAATTTGTCCACATGTCTGACAGGTAGGTGGGTGACATAGCCGCATATGTCGCTGCAAATGTGTCCACGTTGAGAAAGACCATGCCTGGAGAGTCGGGTCTACCGTGTAGGGCGGATGGTCCGGCGGCGGCGCGGATGGGTGCGGAAGGACGCATTGATACCTTCCCTTCTCGTGTACGCGCATATGATGCTGTCTCTTTGAATAGGTGGCAAATCTCTTACCGCAACCCTCGTGCTCACAAGCATACGGAAGCTCTCCTGACAAAAAATCGGCATGGGCTTCCCGCACATGCTGTCGCAGATGTTTACGCTTGGAAAATAAACGAAAGCATCCTCCATAAGTACATCGGTAAAGGCCTGAGAGTGAATTATCACCCAGAGTATCTTGTGCATTTGTGGCAGAGATCGAGGGGATCCCGTCTTCGGTTGGCGTGTGACACGAAACAATGTGCCGGCGAAGATGTTGGCTGGTCCAGAACCGCTTTCCACAATGAGAGTGAGTACACTGGAATGGCTTCTCGGAATCTTCCATATGTGAACGCATATGGGCAGCCAGGTGTGTGGCGCGCATGTACGTGGCGCCACAGCCTGGATGAGGGCATGCAAAAGGGCGCTATGATGCATGAGTGACCGTCAACGTACCTCGCCAGTATGCGTACGCTGGTGCTCAATTAAGCGTGATTCCTTCGTATACACCTTCCCGCATCCATCTATAGTACAAATCCATTGAGAGGGACGCGTTACCATAAGCTCCTCCGCCGCGCTGGGCGCCTGCATGTCATTCTGTTGTCCGTCGCACTGATGCCATGACCCTCCACTTCGACTTAAGGCGGGGTCTCATCACGTGAATGACCATGGCAGCCTATGTCCTCTATCAGCCAGCCTTGGCTTTGGCGAAAGCTACGGGAATGAAGTTGGCTTCAATCTGTTTTCCACCAAAGAAGCGGCCTTGCAAGCTTTTGCGAGCAGATTGAGCCTGATTTTCATCGGCGAAGCAGACATACACTTCGCCATCGACGCTGTCTTTGTCAACATGCACGAGGCGCACGTCGCCATGACGAATACACTCATCGCGCACATCGTCGCGAAGGTCCACAGCCCAATTCGGATCTGTTTCCTCAGCGGGATTAAACATGTACTTGAGTAGAATAGCCGATGATATGGCCTCAGGAATCGAGGAAGGTCGCGCTGGAACCTGGCTGTCCGAGTCATTACGCGCAAGCTTTTCCATAAGAGCAAATCGTTTGTCTGTTTGACGCATGGGATCACGCATAGAGTCTTGCTGTGCAGGAATCGAGCCGGAGTGTTCGCCGCCGCCACCACCCCGGGCACCCGCCAGCCCAACTTTCATGGCACGCCCTGCAAGCTCGAACCCATTAAGTTGCTCGATAGCTTGTTGTGCCTCCTCAGGTCGTCGGAATTGAACGAATGCAAATCCTTTGTTCTTGCCAGTAATGTAGTTAAAGTTCACTTCGACATCATCGATCTGACCGAAAGGCTCGAACACAGCGCGTACATGGGGTGCAGCAATGTCAAAGTGCAGGTTGCCCACATACAAACGCGCTTCTGGATTGACTGAGACAGGTGGTCCGCCTGGAGCGCCTGGCATGGCATGTGACGGCGGCAGTATCGGGCCTGTCGGGGCAGACATGGACACAGGCGCAGGTATCGACGGTCCCGCCAGTCGAGGTGGCGTATAAAGCTGCACAGAATAATTATTCAACGCCGCCTCAGCACGCTGGACGACGATGGGAGCACCAAACATGCGTTTGCCGGTAAGATCCACGGCCTTGGGAACAAGATCCGTTCGGGCCAATTCCACGTATCCTATCCCTTTTGTAAGACCTGTCTTGAGATCCACATCAATCTGCACATCCAACACAGTATTGCGTCCCAGATACTCCTCGAAAAACTCGCCCAAGTCGCGTTGAGCCACATGCGAGTCCAGCTCGCTGCAGAACACAGAACGCTGCTCATATTCCGGATGCGAAGCACCAGAGCCATGGCGAGACCATGGAGGGCTGCGGCTGCGACGACGCGAGTGTCCCCCTCCTCCATAGTCATTCCTTCGACCGGTGCCACCGCGGCGACGGTACGAAGGAGGCGCGTCATCATAAGACTGACGCGCTGAGTCGCGCGCTGAGTCCTCACGCCAGCGAGGACGGTCGTCACCGTACCCTGTTTCATCGCCACGGCGTCTGGAGGCGCGCCTGTCATCGTACGCAGACCCAGTATATCCGTAAGGCGAAGGGTCGTCGCGTGTCTCACGACGGCGCGAATCGACGGCACGACGGCGGAGTTCTTCTTGCAAGTACCGCTCACGCTCTGCGGGATCCATAGTCGCTGATGTTGTATCAGACGCTAGCGACTTTCTCAAAGCTTCCTCTCGATCCGCGTACATTCGAGATGGAGGAAAAAGTGAGGTGCGGAGCTGTGGCCGAAGACTGTGACCAAGTGGGCTCCGAATTCACGCACGTGATAAAAAGTGGACACGACGGGATTTGAACCCGCGACCTACCGCTATCGGTGAATGCAAAGCGGACGTGGTAACCACTCCACCACGCGCCCAATCATTTGTATATATTAAATTTTGATTCTCTTAAGCTGAAGTTATGAACCAGTATGTTGAGCAAGGCTATTCTCAGCGCATTCAAGCCGCGTGCTGTCCTCTGTCGGTGCAGGCACAACGCAGCAGAACGAACGAGTATCAATTAAAACAAGGGTTTGACCATCAGGCGACCAGGAGAGATGTTGTGCTGAAAAAGATTCATTTGGGATGGCCACAGCTTCTGCCACTTGAAGCGCGTGATCGCTTGCGCTGCCAAGCACGGTCCACATAAAGACAGATTGCTGTCCAGTTGCAATGGCTAAACTCGCAGAGTGACCTGGTTTCCATGATGCGCATACGATAGGATGTGTAAATACAAGCATGGCAAGAGGACGCAAATATGCATTAATGTCACGCTCCATCCAGCCCACAAATTCATGGACAAAAAGAACTGTGGGCAAATTCTGGTTAGTGCATGCCAGCAAAGTGCCATCTTGGTTCCACTGCAGCCAATTGATTCCATTTTGCAGGGGGCCTGCCGCATCCTCAGTGCGAATAGTCGGCACATCGATGGGGAATGTTGACGACTCCAACGGAACGATGCCTTGGCCTCGAGTCGCTTCGAACCAGCGATGCGGCTCTAGCCACACTTGAGGTGCTTCGTCCATAGAGCGTAATCCTGAGACACTAAAATCAAGCGAGTATATCAAGGTCCAGTCCATATGGTGCAGAATATTCACTTGCTCGTCAAATCCACCCAAGGCAAGGAATTCGCTAGAAGGATGCCAGGCAACCTGTCGTATACCCAAGCCGCCCCCTGCGACACGATGCGTTGGTGCACTTGTATGGTGCATTTGTCTGGGTGTACGTGCAGACGTCTGGACGGTGACGCGACGCGCGCGGCCAGTCGACGTGCTAGAAGCCAGTGCATGCTGGACATCAGCGTTGGACATGGAAGTTTCGGTACAAGGAATGGCCCTTTCATTCAAGGTGAATGTGGCCAAGTGCGTGCCTGTTAGGGTGTGAATGGAAACCTTGTATTCCAAAGCCGTGTCCCAAACGGCAAGGAGATTACCGTCAGGACTCCAGGCAACACCGGCAACGGCATTGGTAGGCAAAGGGATCGTTTGTTCGGACTTCCAAACAACAGGACTGTCCAGAGTAGGTGCATCAGGGAGATCAGGTCGGAATACAACGAGTCGGTCCTGCTCTCGATCCCTTTGGGCAAGAATGAAACATTCGGGCCAGTTACTATTGGTATAGACTGGGTAAGTAGGACGTGTACGTACCTTGAGGAAGAGTCGCACGAGGCAGAATTGTAAAAGCTTGGTCAGAGAGTGAATATATGATAGCACTACCTTCATATCCAGAAAACTGAATGAAAGACGGAATGCGCTTTAGTGGGATCCAAGCAGCATGGACAAGACCTTGAACGCCAGCTGCGACGCGTGCAACCCAGCCGAGATTATCGTCCGAGCCATCTGTTACGGCAGTGTCTGGGTCCAAAGGCAAAACAAATGATACTCCTTCATTTGTTTCATCCTCTTTACTTCTTGAGCTTGCTAGGAGGAATAGGCCGTCGCTGGACCATGACAGAGTGCCTAGCGACGCGTCCAAGTGCCAGGAACGCACAATCTGCATTGTGCCCGTCACACGCACATGTGCTTGACGTCTATCCTTTCCATCAATGTATGCGAGAAAAGTTGATCCAGGCGAAAATAGCACACTATCCCATAATGCATGGGCGTAGGTGGATGTGAAATCCATCCGATCTGCACGACGCGCCTAAAGTTGATGGAGTGGGCCTAAATCTCCACTTGCCCCAACAGACGCAAGTCAGATGACTTTGGACAACGTGCGCGCCACACGTGCGCTATGGAACCGTGTGCGTTAATAAGCCAGCCCTCCCAGCGTGTGCACGTTCATCGGCTATTAGGTAGCTCGCGATCAGGAGCCCTCCCCCAGAGATTGCTCTGGGCCTTTTTCACTGCCAGCCTTGAATTAATCGCTACTGTCCAGGGAGTCAGTCATGATCGGCATTCAGGCTGATCCGATCCTGGATGCTGTGTCCTATCCATATCCTATCGATCGAAAGCGCCGCAAGTTGCGTGTGGCAATCGTCACGGGTATGTCTAGTACGACTCACAAAAGAAAACTTCCTTCCGAAGATTGATGGTGTCACGCGAACCCTCGGAAGACTTCTGGAGCACATGCATAATGAGGGCCATGAGGCTATTGTTATGGGCCCTGATACGGGTCTGAAGGAGTATCTGGGCCACCCGGTGGTGGGCACGTTTGGCATCCCTATTATCGTGTATCCTGGTCTGAAGCTTAACTTTGCTCGACTGCGCTTCATCCGCCGCCTGCAGCAATTCCGTCCGGATGTGGTGCACTTTGTTGATCCTATTTGGCTCGGTGCACAGATGATCCCGCTGTGCAAGCTCTTCTTGCCCAATGTGCCGCGTGTGTCATCTTATCACACCAACCTTCCGACCTACGCGTCTCTATTTGGATGTGGCTTCCTAGAGCCTTCTATGTGGAAGCTTACTCGCATGCTTCATAACCAATGCGATATGGTCTTCTGCCCTAGTGAAAGCACACGACGGATGCTTCGGGAACGTGGCTTTGAGAATGTCGAGATCTGGGGACGTGGTGTTGATGTGGACATTTTCACGCCGACTGCTCGCGATGAAAACCTGCGTGAGAGCTGGGGCTGCAAACCCAAATCGCAGGCGCTTCTGAATGCTCTCCATGATCAGGCCATTTCGTCGCTGGAGCGCAACAAGGGCTTGTCACCCGAGGATGCCTTTATTCGCACCCCTGATACGATTCCTATGTCGGAACTGAGCCCTCCGCCCGCGTATGAGAGTGTATGCGATGTTCCCCCGCTGCCTGGCACGACTTTTGCACTTCCGCCTGCTCTGCTGGAGCAGCCCCCCCACCAAGGTGTGTCTTCGACATCGAGCGCTGTGGACAGTGACAGCAAGGCCGTGGTGCTATTCGTGGGTCGCATTAGCTGGGAAAAGAACATCCGTCTGCTAGTGGAAGCATTCCACCTCCTGCCTCAGAGCGTGAAGGACAACGCCAAGCTGGTAATTGTGGGTGATGGGCCTGCCCGTGCGGAGCTCACGCGCCTGTGCCAGAAGTATGGTCTAGACGCCTCTTTCATGGGCCATCAAAAGGGCAAGCGACTCGCATCCATGTACGCCAGCAGCAGCATTTTCGCCTTCCCTTCATTTACGGAGACATTTGGTCAGGTGGTTCTGGAAGCCCTGGCTTCTGGTCTGCCCGTCGTTGGTCTGCATGCAGAGGGCACCTCTGACCTCGTGTGCCATGGCACGACTGGCCTGCTCCTCGATACACAACGCGCTGTGAGCGGCGGCAACGTCCGTCCGGCACCTGTCGCAGCCTCCACAGCTACGGCACCGCAGCGCCAAAACTCGCTGAGGGAGCGCCTCGGTGAGTCTGATGTTCACGCCGAGCACACACCCGTGTCGACATCTAGTGGACGTGCTGTCCCCGTGGCTGCCTCGGGCAGTCTGAAACCGGGCCTTCCCTCAAACATCCCGTCCGTTAAAGAGTTTGCTTCGATCATGAACTCGAACACGCGTTCGTTCCAACAGTGTGCGCAGGCCTACAGTATCTTGCTGGAGCGCTTAATTCGAGACCGCACGCTACGGGCGACAATGGGTCAGCGCGCTCAGGAATACGCTTCGAACAAAACATGGTGGGACGCCATGGAGGCGCCCATCCGTGGCTACGAACAAGTGATTGCGAAGGCGGGTCGGACGAACCTCACTGACGCGGAATTGGAGGCGCTTCGGAATGCGCAGCGCAAGATCGCACCCCTCTCTGGACCGTATATTACAGGGCTAGTTGTACTGTACCTGGCTCTCTTTATTGTTATGTGGACATATCTCCTATAGTTGGCACTTGATGTTAAGGGAACGGTTACGAGACAGACTCGGCTTAGCTTCGAGGGCCCTTGACTCGAGCAAACACATCCAAGGCACTGGGCTCCTTTGGCGGCTCTGGTGGCCCTTGTTCCTGACGACGCCGGGCTTTCTCACGCTGATACTTTTCACGCAGTGCGATTGTATTGGCATCCACCACGTTCTGGCGTTTCTTGCGCAGATACTTCTTCATCGCACTGTTGCGGCCCCGAGCCTTGTTCTTTTCCTTCTTGACACCCTTGGCCGCTGTCGCAGGCGTGGCATTGTCGTTTTCGTCCTCCTCAGGCAGTGCTGAGGCTTCGTCATCCAGAGTACCATCGAGTTTTAGACGCTGTGCGCGAGAAAGACGTGAATACGGTGTGCCATCGGCAGCCCTGGGTACAGTGTTGGGTCGTGAGATCGATGCTGCAACCGCCTGCGCTTCGCGCGATGCACGCGTATCGAGCTGGCCCATCGCATCGGGATCGAGGGTGATCATATCCGGCTGGATCTTGTCCAGCAAGCTGTGCACTTCGCGCTCGCGGCGTCGAGTCTTGGTCTCGTACGGATCGGCCTCGCTTGTGTCAAAGTTGGGCTCACCTGCGCCCGGAACTAGTAAGCTCGAGAAGCCATTGGCGTGAGCCACGCCCAGTACATCTTCAAACGGACAGAACCGTAGCTGTAGAGGTGCGCACTGCGGCATGCCATGCGTCAAGTACGGGCCAGGAGGCGCGTTCCCCAGCTCAGCCTCGGTGTTGTACAGGCTCACATGGTTACCCCATGCCACACCCAACAGACCCCGCTGGGAATATTGGACGTCTGAAGCAGCGCGCCGCGATACCCATTCACGGCGTGGACCGCGTCCTAGCATGCGTGTGTCCCATACCTTGATGGTTCCGTCCAGACCGCTGGTGACCATCTCTCGTCCACCACGGTGGGCATCCACCGAAATGCCTGTCACAGGGCCATGATGGGCTAGCATCTTTAAAGCAGGCGTAGACAAGTTGGGCGTCCACATGGTCACTGTGCCATTGGCATGGCCCAGGTTGATCACCGCTGTCAGTGGATTTTGTGCCATGGTGGCACAT